GAACATTTTCACTATTCAAAGTAAAAGTTTGTGTCTCCAAAAAAGGATACAAAGTCCCAAGTGCTACTGTTTCATTGCAAGTTGGTATCAGCTCAGCTATACATCTGAAATTTATAAATATAGCCAGCACTTGTATTTGCCATATAAGGTAGTGGGGACAATGCCCCTACTAAGTAAGTACTGGTGAAACCCGAATAAGGTCTGTGCCTGACTAAACAGTATTGCAGCAATATCAATTACTGTTTTTTGGCCTTGGATTGTAGTTACATAAGACATGATCATGGGGGTAAGGGAGGTGTGGAGTACATGGGAACACTCTGTACTATTTTTGCAACATCCTGTAAAGTCTTAAACTATTTCAGAATAAAAGTTACCATTGAAAAATAAACACGATGAATGAATTTGAGCATTAACAAAAAAAGACAAGAAATAAGCTTATCATGCAGTTTCAATTGGTAATCATAATTGCCTTTTTCAACTCATTATTCGTTTTCTCCTTTACTGTCTGCCAGCATAACTAGACAGTTTATTTTGTTTTGCTTTGTTTTGTATTTTTGTGGCTGGCCAGTAAAAGGATCCAAACTCTTGACCTTGTAGATTATTTAACTGGTGGATCAAATCAAAACTTTATTCCTGCCAAATTTTATTCTTTTACATCCTTTTCTTAATTAGGTTGCTATAGTTTTTCAGTTTTCCATTGATTAATACTGTTGGGCAAAAAAGTATTTGTGAATCTCCTGAGTTCCAAATATACTCCTTCTTGCCCTCCTTAGTTTTGCAAAGACACATTTGTTCCTGGTAGATGAAATCAATCATTATACACTGCATGTGACTGTGTTTCTGTCCTTTTTTTTTTTTTTTTTGGTTTTTTTTTTTTTTTTTGGTTTTTTTTTTTTTTTTTGGTTTTTTTTTTTTTTTTTGGTTTTTTTTTTTTTTTTTGGTTTTTTTTTTTTTTTTTGGTTTTTTTTTTTTTTTTTCTTTTTCAGTCATAATGAACTCAAAATGGTTGGGGAGTGGGGATTTCAAATTCCAATTCAGAGAAACGAAATTATGACTATATTCCTGTTGGAGACATCCTTCCTTTAGGCAATGGAACTTCTAAACCTCATTATTACAAAAACAAGAAACAAAAATGTGTCCAGTGGATTAGTGGATTATTGGTGTGATAGCAAGAGAGGACACTACCACTTCCATCCCTTAGTTCCTAGATCTGTATCTCCTGGCTATTCAATAGAGGGATATTGCATACTATATGATGATATCCCAAGTTCAAGGTTCATGTCAAACAAATAGTGGCAAAAATATGGTAGAGCAGACTATTTCACTCTTCTAGCAATCCAGGAACGTATCATTTATGGGGAACATGATGAAACCAGTAAATGATACCAGTGAGCCTATTTCCCTTCTTTTCATAATAAAATATTTCCTGTTGGAAGCTGAGGTAGTATGAGTTACTATGGAAATGGGTAAGTTATGGCAGTGCTGAAAGGACTGCAGGCAGCAAAGGCAAATCCACACCCAGAATATGAATCTGTCTGTGATGACAAAATGCTGTGCCTTCCTGATGGAAAGGTTCCCATGTAATACACTTGCCACTAGGTAGTCAGCTGGTCCTGCTGGGAAATGATACTATACCGACGGCTCAGTCATGGCCGCTACCACTGGCAGGTAATGGTGGGAGCCAGAGTCTGGCTGACAGGCACCAGGTGGTCATTTCGTCTGTTTGATTATTGAGAGCCTCCTCTGCTATGGACATTAAGTGGGCCACTAATAACTTCACATTTTCACTTTTTTACTCCCTCTCATAAGTCCATTCACTTATCTTTTCCTAAACCTCCTTTTCACCAATTTCCTAGTTTTACTTTTCCCATACTCTCGACAGTTGGCTTTTTGTTAGCTACTGTGCATGACTCAGGATGAACCCATGCCTGAAGCCAAGTAGCCTTTCACAAAAAGTGGACAACCAAATATTTTAGTCAAAGTTTTTCCAACTGGCAGGATTTATGTTTATTACATCGTTCAATGCAACTGCTGAGTCAGACTGCAGTACAGAACCTATTCAATTCCAGCTTGGTTAGGTACATCACGCAGACCTGCCATAACCCGGTCTGCATTTATTCTTCCTCTGCCAGCCTTTGTTAGAAAACATAGCTCCTGACACAGATGTGACATGAAGGGAAGGAGATGACAGAGGATGTGATACAATCATCTATGCTTTATGGCCCAATTCCATTTACACCATTTTTTTATAGTGGAATGTTACTGCATATGTTCAGTTTTATAGTCAGTATGTGGTAACAGCCACCAGTTCATGGTGGACAGTTTGGGTTGCAGAGTCACTTGGTATCCCATGATCAGGCTAACTGTTTCTATCCAAGCCCAGTAA